AGGGCAGTGTGGCACTGAGGTTATGGACGACAGAGGGTTTGGATGAATGATATCAAGCGAATTCTTGTCAGCTCGACATTTGAAAGAGTAAACCATGCAGAGATAAAAATTACTTGAGTGGTCAGTAGGTCCCTTCCAAATACGTGGTATTGCGAATTTCATCGTTCTATTTTACCTTCCTTCCAGGTTACCAAATCAAAGTTTGAAATGAATAACTTTTTGCTTGTTTTAGTTTAGTTGTTTGTTTTACCAGCATATCAACCCTTTTGGGTTATTTAATGCTGAAGAATGTGTTTGGTTTTTTGTTTACTACTTGTTGATCTTTTGTGAGTTTATTGTTTTCGAGATATAGGTAGAGGTGTTGTGATTTAGTGCATGATGATTATATGCTATCTTCTTTGCCAACTATATTTTGTTATATAATTTTGTTGCTTTTTAGAAATTCTAAAAGGTCGTTTGGGTCGATTTTGTTGAAGATGTCTTTCAGATTGCTTTCTTGATAGTAGCTTAATCATATTTGTTCAAGATCTATGCAGCTTGTTAGTAAATGTCTCACTGTGTAGAGCTCCTGGTATGGAATGCAAATTGGGGCTTCTTCACCCTTCAGCAGGTGTGAATGGGTGACAGCGGTATGGCCAATTTGAAGTCTAGTCATTACTACTTCTCTTCTTGACATTTTCCTGTTGGAAATTTTAGCTTCTATCCGTTCTTTGGGGATGGGTTTGATTTCGTAGAGTTTGATATTTTTGCAGGAGTTCCACGACTCTTGCCATTTGGTCATAATCAGTTTGTTGATTAGGGGTTTGTAATCTGTATGGGGTACTTTTATATCACTAATGTTGATGTTTAATGATCTTTTAGCAGGTGTATCTGCTATTTCGTTTCTTCTGAGACCAATATGGCTGGGAATCCAGCAGAAAATAATGTTTTTGTTTTGAGCGATGAGATTGATTCTTTGTATATTAATGATCAGAGAGTTACTTAGATTTTTGCTTTTTAGTGCCATTAGCACTGATAATGAGTCTGAAAATATTATATATCTTTAAAGGTTAAGTTCGAGGGTGAAGTCTAAAGCTAAGTTTATGGCTGTAGCTTTAGCACTGAAAATTGAGGTATTGTCTGGTAGGCGTTTTTGGAGCGTAGTGGTGTTAGTCTTTAGAGCCATCTATGTATATTTGTGTCCAGTTTGGGTGTTGTTCTAGGATGTTATTTAAATTATAGATATAAGTTGAGATATATTTAAGAAATAACACTTACTGATCAAAGACAAAACAGACAAATTTTATCTTACATAGTGTAATTTATCCACATATATTTAATAAAAAAAGCGTAATGGCGATCAATTTTAGTACTAAAATATTCTCAACAGTATTATCAAAAAAGAACTCTATCTATCTATCTATCTATCTATCTATCTATCTATCTATCTATCTATCTATCTATGTACCAATCATCTATCTATCTATCTATGTCATGATAGGAATTGCGCTTGCATCTAGATATATTTTCACTTGCACCATCTTTATCAACTAACTTTCAGATTCTTCGTCGAGTTTTAGGTTCACGCATGCGCAAGTAAAAAGAGAAAATCGAAAGCTGACCACAGAAATTCGTCTGTGATTAGCCTCCAAGTATAAATGCTCGTTAGGCAGCGTGCGTAAAAGTCAGTGCAATCTATGCGAACAAGGTAAAAACAAAAACGGTTGTAGCAAGTGTTCCGTTATGATTTCAAGTGCAAATCTGCACGTAGGCTTAAACGATACTTTAGTAGCGAACAAACTTGTAACGTAAGAGAAACAAAGCGAAATCATAAAGAAATATCAAAAAAATATGGTCGATGTAAATCTTCCCAGCACAGCCTTTGCTTTATATTAAGGAAATCTTAGAAGTTTCTTTGAATTGATTGATTATTTGATCAATATGGTAATGAATATTTGGCAATCTCTTCCCAGTTGATTAGAACGTTGAAATATGTACTTCTGTCGATTCATGTTGAGTATAGCAAAAAGCAAAAAAGGATGTGCGGGTGGTGCAATGCATATCGCCCCGGAATTAAAAATCTGAAAGCCGAGTTCAAATTCCAGTCGAGGTCGTTACACTCTCTATAAATACGTATATATACTTGCAAAAGCTATGAATTAATCTACTCTAATAGGTATGAGTCAAATATTAGGATTATATCCAGAAAAAAAATCATTGTTATCCTCAAAATAAGGCTAATACAGTATTCACTCGCAAAATGAATCACCTACGATCCCAAAATATGCTTCGATTTTAAATAACCCACTAAGGGTTGATAAACTGTAACAAAATACAAACCATTTGTAGTCAATCCAATGAGAAAGAAAAAAAATAAAGATGTTTATCGAGAATTGATAATGACCCAATATGTGCGGACAATAAGATAAAGACCAAATGGAAAAACATATTAGGTCATTATCATTCTCGATATATATATATATATATATATATATATATATATATATATATATATATATATATATATTATTTGGGTATACTAATAATACATTTGTTGCGGTAATTGTTTCCTAGTATCGTTGAATGAAATGTTTAAACATCAGCCTTCTTGACCTGTAATAATAACACACCCACATCCAGCCTCTGACCTTACATTTCTATGTTAGTGTAGGGGTGACGTTCTTTCGTTAATCTAGGCATACGCATAAGTATATTTTTAATTCTGAGCTTATGCCCCCGACATTAACTCTGAAAAGAGGTATAAAGATTTGTCTTGTAAATTTCCCCCAATAAATCATTTTTATTATTAATTATCTAACATCGTCTGAAGAGGTACCATCTTGTTAGTGAAACATGAAAAATGTTTTGTAGCGATGTAAAATGGTTTTATTTTAATTTATTATAATAATATTTTGGTCTACTTTGTATTGACCCCATTTTAAAAAATAAATGCTACTTACTGTGGGTTTTTACCCAATCTGTTCTTTCTCATATTTGTTTGTATATATATATATATATATATATATATATATATATATATATATATATATGTTTCGATCCCGGCTTGAGGCCAATAAACTGTGAAACAGCAAATCAGTCTGTCTGTGGATGACAATATATATGTGCTCTTGAAAAAATTATTTCAGTTGAGCTCTTAGGAAAGAAAAGTGAATTTGTAACAGTGACTATTACTGTGCTGATGCAAGTCTCTTCGTTAAGACGAACCGAACTCTCAGGTCATTGTAGTCTTCGTCTAAAAATAAATACGCCTTAATTCAACTTCTTCCCTGCCATGCGTCAATGGTAATATATCCGACTGATACCAAATATGTAAGGTTTAGATCACGGCTTGAGGTAATCGGATGTCTAGGCTCAATGATGAGCTGTGAAAAAGTGGAACAGTCTGTTTGTGGGTGACAATATATATATATATATATATATAAATAAATAAATAAATAAATAAATAAATAAAAACCTAGCATAAAAAACGTTATTTTTTAAGTGATACTCATATTTGAGGATATGCTCGGTTTTTATTTAATTGTTAAACAATACTTTTATTTATCTCCATCTATCGGCCAGAATATTCGAGATAACTTTTTTTACAAAATTAGACATCCTGCGGTAGGATTTGAACTCAGTACCCTTATGGAAACCATCATTAGGTTTGTCTTGTCAGCTAACTTGAATTTTTAGGAGAGCTCCTAACCTTTAAAATATAAATATATATATATATATATATATATTTAAGCAAATATATATATATATATATATATATATATATATATATATATATATATATATATATATATATATATATATATATATATATATACTTATGAATCTCTTTTGCATTCTAAATGTTGCCTGGACAAGGTCCGAAAAATTTAAAATATTTATATATATATATATGTTCGGACCTTGTCCATTTCTTAATATATATATACAAATGTTGCCAATTTAAAATATTTTATTGTTCCTCCTGACTATCAGCATTTCAATTTATGATTGTTATTTTGTTAAAGTTCCTAAGCTCAAATATTTAACGATGTGATAGGATAATTTCTATGGATTCTTTATAGTTATAGAACTCTCCAAGAGCTTATTTATTTAACTGAAGAATTCAGATGCATCGGGAAATCTAGCACACTCCACATATAGTAAGTTTTATATTTACTATATGATGAAATAAATTAACTAACATATATTTTACCATATGAGTGTACTAAAAAATTAACCTAGCCATAATTTTTAATCTGCTGTTCCAAGATGCCGCAGTTATCAAATCATGAACGCAAGGTGATTGTTCTTTTTTACGCAAGATCATCCAATTTGGCGACTTGAAAATGCCATGAAATTTTGCCAGAGGTCTTTAGTTTAAACACTACATCTAACATTTGTCTTTTTTTTCTGTTTTCACCTACTAAATATATATCGTTTGCTTTTATTTCAAATAACTGTAACAAAAATTCCGACAATTAAATAAACTACCAAATTTCTTATTTTTCGTGTGGTCCGAAAGTCTTGTTACCCCTACATAATATAATTATTTAATAATGGGGCGAAGAGTTTCGTATGAACGATATAAGATTAGCCATCAGTTAAAGCAGGCCGTTCGGAGAGGATTTGCAATAATCAACATAGGACAGCTTCATAAAATATAACAGAGGATGTGGAAAATAATGGTGTTCAGACAGACCTTCTCGATGTGTGACGGAGTCAATGAAAGTTAATAAATTGAATCTAGTACATGTGCTTTTTATTACACATTCATCTTTTTGTTCACATTACTTTTTTGTAGGAGGTGACACGACTTTTTGTCCATCCTGTAGTTATAAATTTGTTTAAAATAATGCAGAATGTTCGCGACAGGAAAAAAAAAAATGTTTCCCAAAAAGTATCATCTCCAAATTAATCACTTTCAGGCTATACTTTATTTTTATTCATCCTACACTTTTGTCTGGTGAGTGAATCGAACAATAGCAATTTATTGTCAAAATCATCGATGAATTCTTCTAATCGACACAGGAACTTATCAGATATGACAGATAACAACTTTTAGCTGCAAGCTTGTGCAAATTCATACATATGCAGCTCGAATAGTCACACCTTGGAATAATCGTATAATGAAAATGTTTAGAAGGAAAAAAATTGTCAAAATTTGCTAAAAAATCGTACGTTTTGTTTGCCTACCTCATATTATCATATTATATTGTCTCATATTATCTCTTTAAGTTGAGATAGTTATTATGTCTAGTTCATAACCGCAAAACTCTACTCTAACGCAACACATGTGGGAAACAAATTCATGACAGTTTGGGGGCAAAAATGGATCTTCGTGCACGCCAAAAAAAAAAAAAAAAAACCGTAGCGTCTAAAAGATGATTACTTTAACCGTAACACTGTTTTTATTTTAACCCTCTTTACCTCTTCGGCAATGCGTATTGTTTAAAAAATATTATTAGAATTAATATAAAACCTAAACATATGACGAATTTATGAATTTATATATTTTTATTGTTCTTTAGAATTGACAAAAATAATAAACATTACTTATTAGATTGTTTATTTACAATATTTCTTTATTATAATGTGTATTGGAATGGCTGACGAAATATTGGCTAATTGTCAATCGATTCGAACTTCATAAAATGGTAAATACTATAAATTTCCTTCAAGTTCGTTCACGTATTTTAATAATTTAGTAAATGTTTATAAATCTCTTATTGGAAAAATATTATCATATTTATTTTTTATTAGTGAATGATAGATATTGATATTTCAGTAGTTTTAATGTTATTAGCTTTTAGAATGTTTTAAAACATAAAATTACTCTTGTAAATAAACAATCTAATAATTAGTGTTAAATATTTTTGTAGTAAATTCTCAAGAACAAAAATGTATATATTTATTTTCACCATATGTTTAGGTTTTATTACAATTCGCTTTTTTAAGACAATAAACATTTCCGAAGAGTGGTGGTAGTTAAAATAAAAACGGTGTCATGAGAAAAAACTGTCCTTTTGACACACTGGGAATATATGAAGAGACTGATACGAGAATATGGAAGATATATAACTGTGGAATCTATACTTGACGATATTGAGATTTTTTTTTTTTTTGGAAGCATGCATACGATAATCTTTTCCTGAAAATAGCGGTTCCTTGATGAAGTATTCGAATTTGGACATCCTTCTCACCAAACGATTACGTAGGAAATAGTAGTGATTCAAACCTGTCGACATCGCCTGGTGGATTTTGGCTTTAAATTTCAGTTCCGGTGTCAGTAAAGAATGGGGCTCGTCACAATATTTGACATCGAAATAGCGATAAATTAGGCAATAGATATGGAAAGTTAACTCTGTAGGAAATTTGATGGAGGGTGGAGAATAAGTTATCTCCTGAATAGCCCAGTAAGAGATAAGTTGAGATAACTCGATTCAAAATCCATTGAGGATATTTATAAATTTACTATTTATCCATTCAATATTGGTGCCG